GCTTAGAGAGGCCTGAAAGGCCTATGAAGCAGTATATAAGTCTACTGCTATTGCTATTCTTCTGGCTCAGGAAGAGGCAGCTTGGCTGAGCCAATCTCTATCTCCCTGTTGAGAGCTCACCCACACCGCCCCACCCACTGCTTGGAGCTCACCACTGCTCAAAGCGGCAGGGAGGCGGGCAGCTGCAATGCTGGCGGCTTCAGGAGACATTGGCCAGTGGGGAGGGGAGGCTAGGCAAGTGCCAATGCTTACTTGTGTGTAGGCAGGAGGAGTCAGTTCTGTGGATCCATGTGGTGAGCATCCAAGCGGGCTGGTTTGGAGGCATTGCCAGCCAGCTGTCACTACCGGTTCGGTGACCCACGCCCTATTACCACTACCAGTTCACCTGAACCAGTCTAAACTGGGAGCAACCCACCTCTGGTATGTATGTATATGTGTGTGTGTGTGTGTGTGTGTGTGTGTGTGTGTGTGTCTGTTCCAGTGTGTGTGTTTATACTGTATATATGTATATTTGTTCTCTACATTATTCATTCATTTTGCTTTCTGATCAGACTTAGTTGACAGGAAAATTCAGTGTCTCTTTTGCAAAATATTTTAAATTACTTTTTAAAAAGTGTACCACAGTGCATTTTCTTACGGTATAAACAGGTTTCTGAAATTGATCCAGGGTAATTTATTTAATCCTGATTCATCCCTACATAGTGAAAAGCACAAACTTTAATGGTATCCTGCTTTCTCTCAGATGTCTTTAAAAAGGCATGAATACTGATCAAAAGTGGAAAAAAACATTGATTAATGGAAATAAACTAAGATACGCTGAGAATGTAAAAGTTCCTAGGCTTTAGTATAGTAGAATTTGCAATAAATGTTGAGGAGTGTTGAAAACAACCTGTTTCTCCCTTATTAAGTGTTCTGTCAGTGTCATAGTATGTACATTAATTGGTTATTATATTTATTTTTATAAAGAGAAATCTTATTATTAATGTTTATTTTAAGGAAAATAACATTTTTAGGAAAACATTTGTCAGTTGGTTAAGGTTTTCACAAGACTAATATAATTTATGAAGGTTAACCAGTCAACTAAAACTAAAAAAAAAAAATGAATAACACTGAGCAGCCATTTTGCTAGAAGCAGGATAGAAAGTTCAGTGCAATTTTTAATTATTGGTGTGGGCCATTCATTTTCTACTACAGTACAGTGTGTTTATATGAGTATCTTCCTCAATTTAAAAATTGAATAAATACATAATTTCTTATATGAAGGTTAGGGATTTCTCTAATTCTTTAGAATAACATGAGATATCAAAGATTTGTGTGTATTTGTGTGGGGGAATGTCCAACAGAATGGGCTTCACAGCCCATTGCGACCACTGGGCTAGCCCTCCAAGAAGCAGGCATGTGGCGGTGGTGGCACCAGCAGCAGGCACAGTCAGGGGAGGAATGTGATGCAGACCACCGGATGTGCCTGCTCCATCCCACTTGGCTGGGACAGGGTAGGTGGCTGCATGCCTCCCCCCTGTGCTCTGCCTCCAGCTACTGCCACCATTATGGGCTGAGACAAAGTGAGGCAGGAGTGTGGGGCGGCTGCTGCTGGACACCATTGGCCTGCCTACTCCAGCCCGTCTGTTTTTGCTTATGGTTGGAGAGCAGGTCCCCGCTAGTCATCTCCTTGGCCCTCTCATGGGTCTGAATGTGGACCACGTTTCCTTCATGCAGCTATAGGCTGCTACCACCACCAAGGCTGCCAGAAGCTCATGTTTAGGCTTCTGTTGCCGCTACTTGGAGCAACAGGCCCACCTAGCATGAAGGAGATGAAGTGGCAAGCTAGAAAGGCCAAGTAGAGGTGGTACAGCATGCCCAGGCCCAGCAGGTAAAAAACAGCCACTACAAGTGGGGAAATCCAGACTGTCATTGACACCATGGCTGCCCAGGCCCAGCCAGGATCACATGCTCCCCCCCCCCCATCTCTGATGGTCCTGGGTGGCCATGGTGCTTATGAACATCTGTCTTTCCCCACTCATAGTGGCCATCTTTTACCTGCTGGGCATGCACGACCACCTCTACTTGGCCAATCTAGCTGGCCGCTTTGCCTCCTTCAGGCTGGGTGGATCTGATGAGTGGTGGCGGTGCCAGCTCTCAGCTGGGCAAACATGCATTGGGTGCACAAGGGGAACATGCTCCACACACAGGCCAAGGGCAAGACCCACAAGGGGGGCGAAGAGAAGATGACCATCAGTGATCTGCTCTCCAACCGCAAACCAAAAGAGAAAGTAGGGCAGAGGTCTGCATCATGTTCCTCCCACTGCCACCTCCCCCTGCTGCTTGGATGGCCAGTCCAGTAGTGGCAGCAGATTCCAGAGCCACAAAATGCACCAGCTGTGGGGCTGGCAGGTTGGGGCTGCATCCAGAAACAATCAGCCCACATGCACAAAGAGCAGTGAGTGCACATTGGCCAATGATTTCCAGCTTCAGATACTACCCCCTGAGTCTCCCTCACCTCATTCCATGGGATGAGCCTCCTGCCCACTGCCTTACCTGGAAACCCCTGGATTCCCTCCCCAATCCCTCTCAGCCCCCACAGGCACCCATTCAGCCAAGCGACAAGTTGGCGACACTCCCTGGGCCAGGCTGTTGGTTGCGATCACCTTGGCCATGCTCTATCTCCCCCCTGGCCCTGCTGATCCAGCCCTCCATCAAATCTAGTTGGATATCCCTGATGTAGGGCCTAAGCTTATGGTTCACCATGCAACTAACCCTGCCCCTAAGGAGGAGAGTGGATGATTTGGAAACCTCAATATGAATGGACCTAAGAGAGAACTCCTGAAATACGGCAAGAGATAATAATGTCTTAGAGAATCCAACATTCATGAATTAATAAAGACTTCGTTTAAATCCAGACTTCACTCTCCTTTCAGAGTCCAATAATATTGCAACATTCATCTTACTTCTTTTGTTAAATATCTAATAAATTTCTAGTGGGAATTTTCAAAATCTGCTATCTAATTTTCAAAATTGGCTTTCGTAGGGAAAAAAGAAAATACAACAGAACTCAACATTATAGCAACAACTTAACTACTCAGAATTCTAGGACGTGAAATGCTTTTCAAATAATTATTTTCTTTCATCATTTCAAGGGGAAGACTTAACATTTCTTATATTTTTACACACAATATCCATTAACTGCAAATAAAGGTATAGTCAAGGGAGAATAATTACACTCAAAGAATTTTACAGAACAAGGAGAAAATCAGATTAATTCCTGAAAAAAATAATGAGTATGTGGATGAGTTTATTTTTTTATATAATACTGAATATAGAGCTGTGATGGCAAACCTATGGCATGTGGAGACATTTGTTAGGACACGAGAGGCATTTCCCTGTCAACTCCAGACTTCGCCCTTCATTTTTGCCCATTTTTCGCCCTCTGGAGGCTTCCCTGAAGCCTCCGGAGAGTAAAAAATGGCTCTATGAGCAACCTGGAAGACCATTCCAGAACTTCCAGGTTGCATATTGGGCCGTTTTTCATGCTCTAGAGGCTTCAGGAGGCATCCCTAAAGCCTCCACAGGGCGAAAAACAACCCAACGCATAAACCAGAAGGTCAGGAACAGACTTCCAGTTTGTGCATTGGGCTGTTTTTCTCCCTCTGGAGGCTTCAGGAGGCCCAGAAATTCGGGAATGGACTTCTGGGTTGCTCGTAGGGCTGTTTTTTGCCCTCCGGAGGCTTCAGGGAAGCCTCCTAAGGGTCTCTGTGGGGGTGGGGAGGCTGTTTGTGCCCTCTCCAGGCTCCTAAAAAGCCTCTGGAGCCTGGGGAAGGTGAGAAACTGGACTACCGCATGCCAAAAAACTGGACTACCGCGTGCCAAAATCAAGGGGAGGGCAGGGGCCACACACGCATGCATGCATAGAATTATGGGTGGGGCATGCCCGTGCATGACCCCCTGTGCTCCCCCCGCTTTTGGCATGCGATGGCAAAAAGATTAGCCATCACTGGTATAGTTTATAGAGTAGTGGAGATAAATCTATAGTACCCCTATACTGTAGTACCTTTTCAGTAGCTATTCAAGTATTCTTATACTGTACTGGTATTTTTTAGCCCTATATACATATTCACAGATTTCTTATAACATTAAAGGAAAAAATGAAGTCAAATATGATAAAATGTGCTATACTAACCTATGCATGTTTCAAAGGAAAAATCTATAATTTTTCCATATTGAAAAGCAAATGACCAGGCAATTTTTAAAAACAGCAACATCTTTTGTAATAAAGAAGACTGAAATCTGAATGAATTCTTTTCATAATTACATCTTATGCTTATGTCTTGATAGCAATTTAAAATGTATCACATATTATTTAAAAAATGATCACATGTACATAAACAACTAAAATAAAGATTACCATGATGCCACTCTTTATACAGTGTTCACTTTTACCAGTCAAAACTAGAATAATTTGTTAATGTAATGTTAACTACTGATATTTATGGCTACTTCTATTTTGGTTGTTATTTAAAGCAACAATTTACTCTCTGACCAGCTAGAGTAGAAGTATAAGGTGCAGATTAGGTCACTAGAAAATAATGACATCAGTTTTTTTGTGGGGGCTGCTATTTTCATTTTTTTTAAGGGTGAGATTGGGAATGGGAAACTTAAAAAAGCAAATTGCTCTGATTTCTGCCACTATCCTAATTGTTGCTGCAATTTGGTAGCAAAATTACCAAATTTCAGCAGTGTAATTTTTAATGTGGCAATGGAACCGGATTAAGGGTTGAAAAAAAGGAGTTTGCTCTCCTACCCATTTATATCCTTTAAAGAAAAAAATGTTGACAAAAATGAACATTTTAGCTCTATTTTCATAGCGTAAGCTTCGGGTTCATAGAGATCCTGACAATTCTTGCCTCATTTAACAGAAACCATGTTGTTCACAAAGATATTCTTATTTTTTGTTATACACAAAACTTCAGTTATATGGTTCGTAAATATACTAAAGGATCTCTTACCGGATTCACAATTTGAGCCTGTAAATCCTTGTGGACAGGCACAGACATTGGAGGCAATGCAAACTCCACCATTTCTACAACCATCCTCACAAAAAGCTGAAATCATTGAAGCAAATTATAAGAGGAAAAATCATAAGATCTTCAATTCTATTTCAAGTGGGAGAGAAAGATATTTTCCAAATATCTGAATAAAAATTATTTGTCTAATTTGAATACACAGTAAATATTATAATCTTCTAAAAGAATCCTGCAAATTTGTACTGAACCTCCACCGGCCCACATGGCTTCAGATATATTTTATCCTTTTTGCTTTGGTGACAAGGCTGCATATCTGCTACAATCATCTTCATCACTCTATATAACCTTTTTCATCTTGGATGATTTCACACAAAAATGTATTCATTATTTTGCTGATATATCTAAATTGATCAAATTTACTTACCCTTTGAATTTTTCAGAACTGCAATCACATTCATATTTCAGGTATTTCAAAAGCAAGTTTAGTACATAAAGTGTCCTAAATCTGGTGCTAAATGCAGCATCAAGAAAGGAAATGGAACTAACAATGGATGGCTGGAATGCAAAGGTTAGAGAAACAAAGGGATTTGAAATCTGAATCATGTTGTGATATCTTACCTTTGCATATGGTACCATTTCCAGTATAACCTGGTTTGCAAATACAGTTATGTCCTCCTACAGTATTGAAACACAATGCATTTTCATCACAGTTCTGTTTATTGGTGAGGCATTCATCATACTCTGAAGGTTAAAAAGAGAAAGCCACAGCATTTAATATTGTAATATACCTTGATATATTCATTTCTGCCTGCATTTTTTCTCATAATTTGGCTGTAAATAAACATCTTAATATATTGAGAATTCTGCAGAAACAGTGGTACTTACCTTGTTTTAAAGTTTGTCTGTAAAGTTTTCTAACAATGATTCATAATGATCGAGCCAATCAGGGGTGGGTTTCAAAAAAAAAAGAGCCGAGGTGGCGCAGTGGTTAAATGCAGCACTGCAGGCTACTTCAGCTGACTGCAGTTCTGCAGTTCGGCTGTTCAAATCTCCTGCTGAGACCCCCTTAGCTTTCTTTCAGATCCTCCCTTTTAAGGGGACAGGGAGTGGAGATCATCTAGTCTTCCTTCACTTCAGGAAAAAAA